AACGTGCGCTAGGCCACACTGCGTCCCTCTCTCTAGAATGGGTTTCTGTGCTTCCTCCCTTTGTGAGGTGAGTTGTCACCAAACCAATTACGCTCCATCCTCATCCCCCTCCCCTAGGCCAGTCCAGACACAGTTCATGGTCTTCATAGCACAGGCCCCGCCCCGCCGCTGCAATAGGTTTAAGTGCCTACCTACATGACATGGGGATTTGGGGTCAGGGATATGACCCTTGTCACTTTTCTCAGGGGAGCTCTTAAATTTTATTCTAAAAGGGAGTACTTGGAAGTATCCCCTCTCCCCCAGCTTAACCTGCTTTCCCTGTGCTAAGGACCCAGGAGACTTGAAGACACCAACGCTTGGAGAGCCCAGGGGACCCTCTGCTCCTTCATGAGGGCAAGTTGCTTCTCTCCTTATTATGACAGTCTAGACTTCTTAGCCGGAGTAGCCCAGCTCCTCGGGCGCTCCTTGGGACACTGTGTAAGAACAATTCTGTTATTTAATCTTTTGTTAGTCCTTTGACTGATGGCATGGGAAATCATGGGCTAAGCCATGTTCACACAAACCCTCAGCCGCTGTTCTCCTACTGAGGAGCTCCTTAGGTTATGAACCACCTCCGGGGTACAGCATCTGAATAACTCAGATTTTAAAATATTGATTTTTATTCGTCACAGCCAGGAGGCAGCTTTACACAGGCATGTGGCTTGATTGGGCCATCGTGTGCCTCAGATGCCTGTAACTTGCAAAGATTTCATGACTGAAGCAGCCGGGGAGGCAAGGATGCAGCTTCCTGGGAAGCCTGCTGCTTAATGTGGGACCTGGGGGTGGGACGCGGGGGTACAGGTCAGGCCCCGGGCATCATCTCAAATAAGCAAAAACCACGTCACTCAGGCAGGCCTCGTCTGGATGCCTTCCTCTTTTCTTTCATGAAGCTCCCTTCATGTCCCTTTGTTGTTACCCACAAAGGACATCTGAAAATCAGGCTCCTCTCTCAGTACTGCTGTTTTCCTCTAATTGCTTTCCTCATGCATTGCTGTATTAGCTTTGAGACAGGAGGCTGCTCTAAATTGGTAATAACTCTGAGGATTCTTTAAAATGTTTTGGAAATCTTTACGAAAGATTATTGAGGCTCTCAGATAACCCCTCCCTCTCCCCACCCCACCCCCTCTCCCTGGGTGGTTGGCACACTCCCACTCTTTCATCCTCTGCCTGTGTCCCCTGGAGGCTCCTGGGTCTGTATCATGGCCAGCTCCCTTCCTTGAGCTCCTGACCCACATGTCCATCTTTCTCGAGGATCAGCCTAGACGGCCCCCAAGCCCTCAGACTCGCCATTGAACTCATTGTCTTCACTCCCAAGCCTGCTCCTTCGCCTGTTCTCCCCGCTGGGTGATGGTGTTTCCACTCCCCCAGTAACCCAAGTCTGAAGCTTGAGAGCCAGTGTGCACAGTGGGTCACTGTGTTCTGGCAGCTACCCTTTAATGTCTTTGATGTCTATTCTCCTTTCCATCTGCTTTCCAAGTAAGTTCCAAATAGTCTCCTAACTGATCTCTCTTATAGCATTCTTGTTCCTCCAATCCGTTTTCTACTCTGCCGTAAGAACAATCTTCTACTATGCAAGTCTGATCATCGTGGGATTTTAGGATTCTTTCAATGGCTCCCTCCTGCCCTCAGGGTCAAATCTCAATTCCTTGGCAGGGCCTTGTCTCCATCTCTATTTCTTCCTCCCACTCCCCCAACATGATACTCCCAAACTGCTGAGTTCTCACACCTCTGGACTTCTGCCTGCGCATCCCTCTGCCTAGGACTGCCTTCCTCCCTCTCCCCACCTGGACAGTTTCCTCATCCCTCAGTTCAGGCATCTCCACTTTCAGGAAGCCTTCCTGACCCCCCGGCCCCTCACAGCAGCCTCTGCACATTGTCAGAGCACTCATCACCAGCTAGTCTGGGAGATCCTGAAAGGTAGGAATTATGTGTTGTTTGCCTTGTCCTAGCGTCTGGCAGTGTATCAAACTCAGAGGAGGTGCTCATTAAATGTTTGTTGCAAATATGAGACTTTGGGGAGCCCTAGGATGACATGGTTGCTTTCTCCCAAGATTTCTGTCACTGCTACTTCACCAATTTTTTGTGTTCGTGAAACTTAAGGTAACACCAGTTTAGGCCAATAAAAGCAGTTTCCTTAATTTTTTTTCCTCTGGGAATATTAGTATATTAATTCATTTAGCCATCCATTAATCAGTCACTTCATTGAACAAATACGGAACGCCTCCCCTATGCCAGCCCCTGTGTTAAGTGTAAGGGATACAAAGCTAAGTGACACATAGTACAGTTTCTGTCCTCAAAGAGCTAACAATCCAGTGGTGAAGACAGAGGTGCAGACATATCATGACAACATGATATGTGATCAACATGTGATCAACGTTACAGTGGAAGAAGGAGGTGGGAACGATGAATGCTGGGTTAGAACCTCTCCTTTGAGGTTCTCCTAACCCACATCCTTTCTCTGTCCCTGGATTATAATTGCTTATTGTTCTGTTCCGCCTCCCACTAGACTAAGAGGTCATTGAGGGCAGAGACTATGGGATTCATCTTTGTATTCATTCATTCAGCAAATATTTATTGAATGCCTACTTTATGTAAGGCCCTTTTAGGTGGTGTGGAGACAGCACATAATAACACAGACTAAGCTCTCTGCCCTCACAGAGTTTACAGTATGCCTAACACAGTGCTTGGTACGTACATAGTCTCTGGAAGAATATTTGTTAAATGAATAGAGGGGAGACTTCGAGGGATGCGAGCAGTTTTGTCAAACTTCTGGAGGGTGGCCATGGGAAGAGAAACACACTTGTTCAAGGATGTCTAAAAGGGCAGGGCTAGGACCAATGCAGGTACATTGCATGGGAGCTGGTTTGGGAAAATTAGAAAGAATTTTCTGTTAGTAAAAGCTGTTCCATGGTATGATAGAGTGATGGTAAATGAATGACACAGAAGCTCGTAGAAGGGATTCCTACAGTGGGCTCAAGGAGCTTAAGCCAAATGACCTTGAGGTCCTTTCCAAACCTGATATTTCATCATTTGGACACACTGAAGTTTGTCCAAAATGTTCAGCCATCAACATGTGTGGCAAATCGGCCATTGGCTTGTGGGCATTTTCTCCAGAAAGGGAAATAAGCAAACACTGGCACCATGACAGTTTCACAGAGACTAACCTGGAAATTTTGGATGTATGGGGACTTCTCTGTCTCACCTGGCACCTGAATCACAGCTTCTCACCAACTCTGACCCTCGGGAGGAAATCAAGGAGCAAGAGGCTGAGCTGGTTGGTGTTCGCAAAAGGAGAGAAATTCACAGTCCTCCTGGACTGAGTTACAGTGCATTTGATGAAATATTATTTAGCTATTATAAAGAATAAAGTATATATACATACATACATATATATATATATATATATATAAAAGATGTATCAAGTTAAAAGAGAGCAAATTAGATAGTACCATATATGGTATGATCACTTCTGCAAACTTTTTAGAAAGAATACATATAAATACCTATGCATAATTTTTCTGAATGGAATGATAAGAAACAATAGTAGTTGTTTACCTTTGGGAAGTAGTTATTTACTGTGGACAGTGTGAATGGAAGAAGGTGACTTTCAATTTTCATTTTGTATGTTTCTATATTCTGTTTTGTAACATCCCATCTTTTAATGCCAACAGATTTTACCTAGATCATAGGATTAGGCTAATTTTTTTGCTTCTACTTCATAGTTTTCTATTAGAAAATTAAAATTTAATAATATTTTTCATTCCCTAGAACCTAGAGAAAAGGGGGCAGGGACCAACCTGGCCACCCGCAAGACAGAGTTTACTCCTTCCAATTCTAAACATGAGAAACTAGAGGCAGGGAAGCAGAGGGCTGGGAGAAGGGAGAGACTCTTGCTTGAGATCATTCTGTACAAAGATGTCTGAGCCGTGAGGAGAGGCCACGCCTCCTGGGTTCCTGCATGGCTCCTCAACTACACCAAAAAGGGGAGAAGAAGAAGCGGGGGTGGGGAAGGGAGTTAACACTTGCAGAAGGCCTACTGGGCACAGGCAGTTTACACGTTCACCAGACAACTTCCGTCCTGAGGAAGCCTTTAAACAGCAAGACCCATCTCACCCTGCACTTTCCTGAATTAAAAGTCTTAAAGCTGGTACAGAAGTTTATTTTCTGGACCCAGAAAAAAGCGTGATAAAAATGGTACCCACACCAACTCTCTTACCATGTATCCTGATTCTCATTTTCCCTAGGGATCCTGTCTATTACAGAGACTTGTTTGTGAACACAATGCTGGTGTCTAGAAGAGACCTTTTCTATAGTGTTGAGGAAGGCATGCCCTGGGCAAGGAAGGGGTTAACCTTGGAGTCGGGGCCTGGTGCCAGCCAAGAGGTTCAGAGCAGTGTTTATGGGCACCCTGACATTCTGGTTCTACCTTTTGAGCCTGAGAAGCAGGTCTTCTCTCAGACTTCCCGGCTCAGTTCTTCTCTGCATCCCTAGATCTTAATCTCTGTGTTCCTCCCTTTGGACTGGTAACCTGAACTTGGTTCTCAATTGCTTGTGGGGGACTTCAGGGACAGCAGTTGGGGTTTGGAATAGCCACCGTGGGGAATGGGATCCAAGACCGACTGATAAGCCTCATTATTCTTCTGGCTCTCTCAGGATCTCCAGTTTTTCTGGGACTGATGGGTCATGCAGGATAGATTTCACAAGGGGAGTTCACACCTCACCCATTCCCCGTGAACAGAGAGGGCTTGCCAGATGAGTGGGCCAAAGCGAGCCCATTTCCCAGTGGGATGTCATCTCCCTGTTTGGTGTCCTCTCCCAGGTGGGCAGGGTCTAAGACAGCACCCCAAATTGGTTGTATTTCCCCTATCTTGCATACCAGTACTGATCAAGGTGGGGGGGGGGCGGTGGCTGTGTTGCCTATTGCATTTCAGTTAAGGTGATGACTTTGATTGGAATCTCAGGTGGGAAAGTTCAAGGGATAGAAGATGAAAAGGCATCCTGTGAGCAAAGTCCTTCTGCCCGGGAGAGGCGTGAACCTTTATCCAGGTGCCAGCCATTTCATCCCACTGAAGATGGGAGGTTGATGTCATTTCATTCGCAGGTAAGAGCAGGGAGCGGTGTGTAGCAGGGCTCTGTGATTTTCCAGTGACTCAGCCTGTGACCTTTTAGGAGAGATTTCAGAGAAAGAGAAGGTACAGAACATGAGCTTGCTTTTCCAGGGCTCAAGTGGTGTTTGCTGCTGCCACTAGTTTTAGAAATCAGGTGTAGAGAGTTGGATTAACCTGACTCCTTTGTTCATGGAACCATGGAACCAGTGGAGATCATTGGTCTCTGCAAGACCCCTTTCTTGAATTTATTTACTGCCTTATTCCTTTTACTCCCCATCCCACAGTTCCATACCCCTCTCTCACCCACGGTGATTCTTATGTGTTTAGGATGTATCCTTTCGTTTGCTTTCATACAAACGCTATTTGCTTGCAGTATTTATTTATTTATTTTTATTTATTGAAGTATAGTTATTTACAATATTGTTAGTTTCTGGTGTACAGCAAAATGATTGTTACACACACACACACACACACACACACATATTCTTTTTCAGATTCTTTTCCATTATAGTTTATTACAAGGTACTGAATATAGTTCCCTGTGCTTTCAGTTTTTTGTTTTTTTGTGTTTTTTTTTTGCGGTACGCGGGCCTCTCACTGTCGTGGCCTCTCCCGTTGCGCAGCACAGGCTCCGGACGCGCAGGCTCAGCGGCCATGGGTCACGGGCCCAGCCGCTCCGCGGCATGTGGGATCCTCCCGGATCCGGGCACGAACCCGCGTCCCCTGCATCGGCAGGCGGACTCTCAACCACTGCACCACCAGGGAAGCCCCAGTATTTTTAATTTATGTGAACATTCCATCTCATCACGTTTCTTTCCTTTCTTCCTCCCCCGCCCCCTCCCCATCTTTTCATCGTTCTTAAGATCCATCAGTGTTGCTATGTGTACATCTGATCATTTGCTACAATCCTACTACACAGAATTCCCGAGTGTGCATTCACTATATTTTATTTCTCAATCTTAGTGATGGAAACTCAGGTAGCCCCCCACTTCCACTGCAAATAACCGTGCAGAAAACATTTGCATACACGTCTCCTTACGGAATTGTATAAGAATTTCTTGGGATGTATACCTAGTGGAGGAATTGCTAGTATGCGACACTGAATTTGACTCATAATGCCGGAACGTTCCCAAGAATGTTTGCTGATGCACTTTTCTGATGTTTGTCTTCTCACCAGCAGTCCATAAGAGCTGTCATGTCCCATAATCCTGCCAATACTTGGCACTACACTTCCTTCTATATTTTGCTAATATAAAAGGCATACGGTGAGAGCTCTTTGATGTTTTAATTTGCATTTTTCATATTACTAATGCTTTTGAGTCTTCCTTCATATCTGCCATAGTGGCTACATAGTGTACTGTTCAGATTCCTGCTCTAAGACCGAGGTCCTTGTTAACCCAGCTACCAGTAGTGCTGGTTGCTGATGGCTCATAGATGAGACCCTCCCCAGCAATTATCCTCAGCCAGAGGAAGCTGCTTCACCCAGGGTTATGAACTCTTCTTGGGGGTGGCATCCATCCAATGACTAGTCATTGCAGGGAAATAAAGCCTGGTCCCCTTGCTGAATTCAGGACCTCTCTGAAGAGACACCCCAGTTTCCACATTCCCCCATTGGGTCAGCCTAAGCTGCAACTTTATCACAGTTCAGATTCTGGCTCCACCCAATGCTGCTTTCCTCACTCCCTCACCACTCCCCAAAAACCCTGCTCAAAACTCTCCATCTCAGAATCTGCTTCCCAGGAAAACTGACCTACACCAAGTTCTTTGGAGTTTCATCTTCTGTACAGTGTCAGTTTATATCAGTTCCCCATTTTCTATTGCAGTCATAAATGTTCAAGATCCTTGCATATTCTTCGTATAAATTCCCCATTGGTTTTAGATGTTACAGATGTCTATTTTTTTTAATCAGTCTATTAACTTTGTTCATGGGATATTTTGCTGACTAGAAATCTTTAATTTTGATGTAATCAAATTCATAAAATTTTGCCTTATGGTCTATGCCTTTGAAATTTCATTTTAAAAGAGCTTTCCTGAATCACAAAGATATTTTCCTGAACTTAATCCTACAAATTTTATTTCTACTACTTTTCTTTAATCTTTTACACTTAGGTCTTTTAACGACCCAGAGCCCTCTTTTGTATGTGGTATTAAGTAGGGACTCAGTTTTATTTTTCTCCATATAGTAAGCCAGTTCCCCATGCCATTTACTAAACAATCTATCCTTCCCCCAATTTGTGGTAGCACCTTGGTCCTGTATTAAGTTCAGACATATACATGACTCTGTGTCTGAGCTCTCTATTCTGTTTTGTTGGCCTATTTGTACATTTTCTTAATTTCTCTTTTTATTGTGATGGCTTTATGTCTTAATATCAGAGAGGGTAAGAGCCCTCTTCACTCTCCTTTTTAAAAGTTGGCTTAGCTGTTGTTCTCTGCTGTGTCTAACTGAAGTGTTAACACATACCTGCATAATTTTTAGAATAAGTTTAGTTTCCGTGCTTTGGACTTTATATGTTGGCTTTGTTTGGATTAGAAGCCCTAGTTCATCTGGCAGCAAGGGGTCTGATAGCCAGCGTGCCGGGACGATGATTTGCGTCATCGGCGGTGCACACACAGAAGCACAGGGTAGAAACTTTAGGAAGGAGTCAAGCCAAGAGATACTATCTGGCCTGCACTGGATACTAGAAAGCCCTGACAGTTCTCTGCAAAGTGGAATCCAATCTGATCCAAGAGAAACATTCAAAGGCTCAGAGATCTTAATGAGCCTGGGAACCTAATCAGAGGCAGTAATGAATGATATTAACAATACTGTCCCGCCAAAGAGAAAACCCTATCTGGATGCCGGGTTGCTTGGCCTGTGTTCCTGAGCATTGCAAGGGCCTGTCAAAAGGTTAATTCATTGCCACCTTCTCTGTCTGCTACTCCTGCAGCTTTTTTCAAACCCACTGTTCCCAAAACCTCAGCTTTGAGGAAAGTAGCATTTTTGTTTTGTGATGATGCGGAGCCTGTGAGCAAGCCATAGTCATTCATCCGTGGTGTGAAGATGACGCGTGCTCCAGCTCTGGAGGTGCTTGCAGGTTCAGACACGTCAGAGCTGAGGAGGAATGAAACGACACTGCCGAAACCTTGAAAACCAAGTTCAAGGAGAGGGCAAGACTTTCCAAATGTAGAATCTGCTCTTAGATGGAGCTGAGGCTCCGCCGGGGCACGGGTTATTCTGTGAACTTCCGTTTTCTCTTTACTAAGGACTGTAAGGCCGAGAGAATCACCTCTGTTTGGTCCAATCTGCACACCTGCCCTCACATGGACCCAGTTCTGCTGACTTCTGCTGGGTGTCTGCACCTTTCCTTTCTCCCTCATGCTGTTTTCATCCTCTGCTGCTGTATGAGGCTCATGCCCCTTCCTGTTTTCCAAGCTCTTACTTCTAAGTTCAAAGTCTCTGAGAACAGACATCTTCAACTGATTTGTATAGATTGTGTTTCTTCCCTCAGTGGCTCTACAAAATTCTGGTTGTTGGCTTCACATGTTTACCTCAAGAGTGGCCAACGAATCTGATTGCTTGGCCCCTTGGCTCTCTCTGTCTAACCTGAGTGTGTGTCCCTGTCCTGGACCCATGCTGGATCCCACACTGTGATAGGGGGTGGCCTATATCATCTGCTCCCTTTGGAGAAGGGTCATATCCTGACTGGGGCCCAAGAGGCCTAGAAAGGGCCCTCATTTGACCTTTGTGCTTTGCTGAAACCCAGAAGGCCAGAGTTCAATGTCCTTGTTACTTTGCTCCTCTGTAGCTAGGGAACAGGACCACTCTGGGAAGAAGGGCTTGACCTCTCCTCTTCCTTTTCCCCTCTTTCTTTTGCTCTGGGTATATGATGGGAGCTCAGGGAAGTCCATTAACTAGCCTCCTATTTCCTTTAAGTCTTCTTTAAATGTAACAGTCAGTGTTTGGAACCTCTACTAGCTGCTTCAAAGACCAGCCACTGCGTTTTAAACAAAGACAGCTTGGCTGAAGGTCTTTTAGTGGACTTTTGGGGTCCTTACTCTGAGGGGTATAGGAGGGCTTTATCCAGCGTTAGCCTGCCTGGAGTGGTAGGAGGTAGGACAGGGACTGGGGGTGGCTTTTTCTTTCAGAATCAGTGAAGAAAGGAAGGAGGCTGTGCCATGTTTTAAGATTCTAAGTGTGGTTGTCTAGGAAGCATCTATTCAGAAGCCTTGAGACCCAGTCCATAGATAGGTAAATATTCACAGAAGGAGAGACCTCAGTGGTAGGGATCAAGTTGTTGACTATCCCAGTGGAAAATTAGATCATCCATTCTGCACCACCACCCTCTTACCCCATCAATTCCAGACTTTCAGGAAATAGGGAGTATAGCCCAGCCCATGGTCAGGCCACTGACAGGATGCTGTGCTGACTGTGCTGTCATGCTATGTTCACACTATCTGCTCTGGTGTCAGTCACATGCTGACCAGTTCTAGTAGGATGGCAATGACCCTTTTTAGGGCTGTCGAGGATCCTGGAATGTCCCTGTACCTCTTAAAGCCTCTGTTTGTCCATGTGTCTAATTAAGACTAGAGAATCCATAGCCCAGCTCTAAAGAGCTAAGAGTTCACCAAACACTTAGGTAGAGATGTTACTTAAAAAAAGAGCAGTTGCATCCCACAAACTGGCTTTCCTATATTTGGTTTCTCCCAGGGATATTAAATATAACTTTTCACATGTTGTAGGCTTCAGAGCAGACCATGTGGTTGACAGACTTCTTGGTGTGGGCTCAAAACTTGGCCTACCAGTCCCTGAGGGGACCTCTGAATGTTAGGCTGTATGAAACCACTCTGAAAAAAGTTGCATGTGTGTGAGGAAGGATGGGCAAAAGCAGAGACGGCCCGAGGAGCTGGTTCCCTGTTTGTGCTCCCTGTGCCACCCCTTTCTCCTTGGAACTTCTGAGAAGCTCTGTTTGGTCATCATCATCTTGGCCAAATCAAACACAACCAGGAAGAGCTGTTTCTCAGGAACGACTCTTGGGAGTCACGCCTTCTTGTGAGCCACGGGGGCCCAGGGTGAGGAGAAGCCCGTGTGGAAAGGTTCTTACGCTCCTTTATGATTCAGGACCTCTGATTTTTGCTGGTGAAAGTAGGAAAAAGAGTCCTCAGGACAAGAAATCAAAGATAGTGCACAGAAGGAGTGCAGATAGTAGACTATCGACAAAAAGATGCACATCCTGGCTAAAAAAGAGAAGGAAATGCAAAGCCGGAAGCGGGTTTTGGGCTCCACCACACATTTGTTAAACTGGGGTGCACCCTAACTCTGAATTTTCAGTCCAGGCCAGCCCACCACATACCCAGGGACAAGGGGCTGTAACAAATAACTCTCATTCACTTTGTCCTACTTGGAGCATTTGTCACAGCTTCTACCCAGTTCTGCTTCTTGGCTTTATCTCACAGGTCCTCCTCCCTTGATTCATATCCTATAATCCTGACTGTTTAGCTTCCCCCATTTGACTTGGCAAAAATGAATATAAATGACAAAACTCAATGATAGCCCAGTTCTGTGCTAGGAGAAATGGCACATTTAAATGAAGGTGAAGGCCCTGCAAACTGATTGCACCTTTCTAGATAGTAATCTGCCAATAGCAAGAGCTGAGTCCTTGCCACAATCCAGCCATTCTGTCCAGGGAAGCATACTCCAAATAAATAAACCCAAAGGGATAAAAGAACTATTCATACAGAAATAACCATACTGGTGTTGTTAATACTAATGAATTAGAAATCATACAATATTCAACCTGAGGCAAATTGTAAAGCAAATTATGATGCACCCATATAATAGACACAGTATTACAATTATAATCGACAAACATGAGGCCTCCGTTGACACAAAAAAACCTGAATATGAAATAATATTAGAGAAAAAACACCCTGAGAAGTGTATCCTTACAGTGATTGCACAGTGTGCAAACCTGACAAGCATCAGAAGGGAATTAATAGGAACATAGGTATTTAATACACAATGGAGTTTTCCTGTGGAAAAGTTGTGTAAGTTCGTAAGAAAAGTGTTTCCTAAATAAAATAGAAAGGTGGGAGGACAAGGCATTCTCCTCTGGTGGGTGTTCCTGTGCTGGCTTGGGTAAGGGGCTCGGCTCCTTTTTCTTTAAGTTTTGTTTCTGTCCTGTGGATGTTCTCAGCTCTAGGAGAGGACAGGAGGAGGCTTTCTAAGATCTCTCATCTTGGCAGCACTGCCCTCCACCCTAGGCTTCTGCCGCCCAACAGTTTGGTCTGTAGAAAATCCTTGGCTTCCTTTCATTTCTCCTAACTCATTTTTCAAAAAGCAACCAATGAGCAATGGATAGTTGAGACAGCACCAGTCTAGAGGTCAGAGGGCCATGGTTCTAGCCCTGGCTTTGCCACCATCTTGCTGGGTTGCCTTGGACAAGTCACTTCCAGACTTGGGCAAGTCTGGGCCTCAGTTTCCTCATCTGTCAAATGGCAGTGTTGGACCAGGTGATTTCTAAAGTCCTGACATTTCTATTGCTCGATCTTTATTGACCCAGGATGAGGGAAGGAGTCTTGAAATGGAATTCTCGTCACTCTGAGGCTGCGAATGAACTCTGCCATCCACAGCCAGCTACCTGCATGCCCTGGAGGCCGGCGTAGCACTATGACCGGATCCTTCTCACTGCAGGTGCAAGGGCTCACCAAGGGTTGATGAGAAGAAAGAAAGAAGTCTGCATGTTTTAGGCCTTTATCATTGGACACTTAAGTACAGTTCAATGTTTCTTGAGAGAGATAAGAGCCAGAAAGTTCCAGCAGGAAGCAGGTCTCCTTTAGAAGAGTGGGCTAATCTTGCTTGACCTTGACTTCCCAGAATGAGACCCTCTGAACAGCTTTGAAACAGCTTCTAGGATGGCAGTGACCAGGCTCCTGTGTCGAAACAACTCCTCGCGCTGCGACTGCCCAGAGAACCAAGCAAGTGGAGCAGGGCTGGCGTCACAGAAGCTTCAGCCAACTGGAGAAACAGCATTTGAAGCAAGTCAGAGCTCTTTCAGATGTGCTGTGATCGAGAAGAAAAAGATTGGTGAGAGAAAAATGGGAACCGAGTAAGGAAAATTAGCTGGCTGTGGTATACGGAAGGGGCCCTTAAGTCTACTTCAGCATATAAGTCTAATGAGTGCATCTCTCTTTGTGCAGTGAGAAGTGAATAGTGAGGGGAGGACAAAGGGATGGGACGAGGGGAAAGCTTTTGTCTATTTTTGGCAGAGAGAATGAAAGGGCCCTTGACTGCTTCAGTGGCCATGCTGCAACAAAAGAGTAAGTGAAGCTCTTCTCACTAAGAACAGGGGCACGGGAAGGACAGGAGGGTCCTGTCTGCAGCAGAGGTCTTAGAGGAGCCCTGAACATAGCAGACTTTATGTGGAGCTGTATGAATTATTTTGCACCGAGTAACAAATCATCCCCAACCTCAGTGGCTTAAAGCAACAACCGCTTACTGAAATGACGGCTCTGCGGGCTGGCTGGGCCGTTCTTTGGTCTGGGCCAGCTTGGCTGAGCTCCGCCGGGCTGCGCACCTGCCATCAGCGGGCAAATCGGCTGGCAGTTGAGTGACTGAGGGTGGCATCACTCACAGGTCTGGTGGCCAGTAGGCTGTTAGTAAGAGTTATGTGACCCGGCCACACGCCTCTCCTCATCCTGTGGGCTAACACGGGTTTGTTTATGGGGCAGCGGATTTCCAGGAGCTGCGTGAGAGGCAGCGGCAAAGCCCCTTGAGGCCTAGGCTGAAAGCTGCACATCTTCACTTCCAATGCATTCTGTTGATCAAAGGCCAGCTAGAGTGACCAACTGTCCTAGTTTGCCCAGCGCTGAGGGGTTTCCCAGGACACAGGACTTTCAGTATAAAAATTGGGAGAGTTCTGAACAAACCAGGACAGTTGGTCACTCTAATGGCCAGCCCAGGTGCAAAGAATGGGGAACTTGACCTTTCTCCAAAGAAGATATAAAATGACCAATAAACACACGAAAAGATGTGCAACATCACTAATAATTAGGAAAATGCAAATCAAAGCCACAGTGAGATGCCACTTCATACTCTTTAGGAAGGCTGTTATCCAAAAAACAGAAAATAACAAGTGTTAGAGAATGTGGAGGAATTGGAACATTTGTGTATTGCTGGTGGGAATGTAAAATGGTGCAGCCACTGTGGGAAACATTATGGCGATTCCTCAAAAAAGTAAACACAAAATTACTGTATGATCCAGCAATTCCAGTTCTGGGTATATACCCAAAAGAATTGAAAGCAGGGACTTCAACAGATATTTGTACACCCCTGTACATAGCAGCATTATTCACAATAGCCAAAAGGTGAAAGTGTCTAATGGTTAATCCAAGTGTGAATGGATAAACAAAATGTGGTTTCTGTGTACAATGGAATTATTATTCAGTCTTATAAAGGAAGGAAATCCTGTCACGTGCTACAACATGGATGAACCTGGAAGACATTTTGGTAATTGAAATAAGCTAATCAAAAAGAAAAATACTGGGGCTTCCCTGTTGGCGTAGTGGTTGAGAGTCCGCCTGCCGATGCAGGGGACACGGGTTCGTGCCCCGGTCTGGGAAGATCCCACATGCCGCGGAGCGGCTGGGCCCGTGAGCCATGGCCGCTGAGCCTGCGCGTCCGGAGCCTGTGCTCCGCAACGGGAGAGGCCACAACAGTGAGAGGCCCGCGTACGGCAAAAAAAAGAAAACTACTGTGTGAGTCCACGTATATGGACTTCTTAGAGTAGTCAAATTAATAGAGACAGAAAGTAGAATGGTGGTTTCCAGGAGCTGGAGAGAGGAGGGACTGGGGAGTTAGTGTCTGACGGGTGCAGCGTTTCAGCTGGGGAAGATGAAAACGTTCTGGAGATGGATGGTGGTGATGGCTGCACAACAGTGTGAATGTACTTAATGCCACAGAACTGTACATTTTTAAATGGTTAAAACGGTAAGCTTTCTGTTTATGTGTATCTTACCACCATAAACAAAGGAGTGGGGAACTTGGCTCCCCTATTAGCGAGAGGAGCTACAAACTAATGTGGCCGTTTTGCCATCTGCTGTACGGGTGGACAGGCATTTAACTGAACAAGGCCAAGCTGTTGCAGTAGAACATGGTTTTTGAGAAACTGCGCTGGGAGAGCGAGCGGGATCCACATATTGACTCTTGGTACGCTTACCTTTGGGAGCCAGTTGCAGCTTATGGTTATTCATCTGGGTAGGAAACAAGAGAGGCTAAAAGGAGGCTCATGTTGATGAGCGAATGAGGTGATAAGGATGTATGGTAAGACTTTGGAACCGGCCAGACAAGTAAAATAAAATAAAACGGAGTCAGAGCCCTAAAGAAATCACTAACGTGTGCCGAGGGCTCCAAGCCGCCCTTTCCCGCCTCCTTTCTGCCCCTGGCTGCGCACAGAGCAGGCAGTCAGTAACCAAATGCCTCAGTCACCCAAGGAGCCGGGTGCACAGGGCCTGGCTCGTGCACAGCCTTGCCCTCCTAGACCCTCTCTGTTTGGTGCTCACGGGAGTCTGTGTTTATTGGAGACTCTGATTTGCCTGTTTCTTTAGTCCAGCGTTGCGAGGAGCAGGCAGCAGGGAGGGATGAGTGAGGAAAGGCATCAGTGTGTGAGTGTGGCCAGGCGGGGTGAAGGCAGACAGGGACTGAAGGAAGCTATGAAGCAGATGACCAGGAGGAACAGCCAGACTCCCAGGATGCTGTGGCCAGGAAGGACTTGGAGAGCATCTGGTCCACTCTTCCCATCAGAGGATGAGGAAAGTGAGTCCAGAAAGCCTCGGGCACTTGTTCAGGACCGGTCACTGGGGGAAGCAGGAAGTGGCAGAGCTGGTACTTGGGACAGTTTTCTCATTTCTAAGCTGGAGCTCTGTCTTCTGCATCCAGCAGCTTCCGATTTCCCTTGGAACCCTCTCCACACTAGTTGCTGGAAGTGGACGTGGTAAAGCCCCAGTGCAGTGTGCCTCCTTTCCCCCACATTTCATCTACTCCTCAGGGGCACCATGCCCTCAGCACGTAGGCGTGCATCTTCTAGCTCCTCCAGCCCTGGAAAGGCTGGTACAGAGGGTGTACTGTCATCAGCTACTTAATTAAGGGGTTCTACTGTTCTACACTCAGGCTCATGGGGAGAAGTTATTTTTGGGTGTTATGGGAAGTACAGTACAGACCAATCCTTTCTTCTTAACTCAGTGACTAAAATTTAGCCTGCTCTGGGTTTGTGGCTTAATGCTTAAAGGTCAACAGTGAGTGGGCATAGCTCATCTCAGAAAGCTGAAGTGCTGGGGGATGGAGTCGGGCTGAACCCTCTTCTTCTTTGTGTGGAGAGGAGAACTTCTGGGAAGAACCCAATTGAGAAGCAGCTGGTGAATGGATTTATTGATCCAATTGCCTTTCCCACCTGGGAAGGCTTCAATAACTGGGAAAAGCTAGTGACAAGCACACAGCTCTCTGCACTGTCCAGGACTCAGTGTGCTGCTCTAGGAATCCTAAGATGCGAATCTACATATTGATTAAGGGCCTGCTATGGACAAGTTACTGGGGAACCTTTCAAGAGGAGGCAGGTACAATGCCTGCCCTCAGGGAGCTCACAGTCTGGTCACAGGGGAATAAGGCATGGACTCACTAAGGCAAGTGGAGAAGGTAAGGGCTCAGGAGGCACTAAGTGCCTGGTGTCTGACACCCACGTAGCAGAGGTTGGAACCAGAGAGCAAACAGAATCTGAAAATGCCACCCTTTCCCCCATGCTTGCCTGTCAGGACAGGTGCCAGAGAAAGGATCCAAAGCTGCCTTGAGAGGTCAGGGTAGGTCAAGCGGGAAGGGACAAGACAAAAGCTGGGAGATGAAGCAGTGAACTAATAGTTAGAGAGGGGGGGAGAGGGCAGAAGCAGAAAAGGAAGCCAAGAATGAAGTGGGGTGGGACCCTCTATTAGTTAGGATGCAGGTGTAGCTACGTGGGACAGAGACCCAGAGGAACTGTGGTTTAAACAAGACAGAAGTGTGTTTCGCGAGTAAAGTCTGAGCTAGTAAAATGGTTCTGCGCAGTGAATCATCAGAGGCTTAGGCTCCGTTTCTTTTCTTGCTCCATCAGGTCATCTCTAAGTTGTTGTTCTCATTTGCATGGCCCAACGAGGCTCACCACCACCTCCACACTCCACCCTATGGAAAGGGGGGAGGAGCCATGGTGGGAGGAGGAGCCTCCTTCCCTTTAAAGGCAGAGAGATTGCTCTTGCCATTTGCACTCCCATCCCATTGGCCAGAACTTGGTCACGTGGCAATGCCCAGCTACAAATGAGAATGGGGATCATTGTCTTTATTCTGGGTGCCCATGTGCTCTGCTAAAGTGTCTTCTGCCATGGAAGAAGGAAGAGTAGGTATTGGGGGACACCAAGCAGTCTCTGCCACAGGCATACACTAGATGCAAACAAGGCAAAATAGGGTCCATGTAATGCCAGTACAGATACCAAGCACAGCAGCTCCTCTGTGAAACCTGCCAGGATGTGTCCCCTTGGATACTGAGAAGAGAGAAGCACAGAGAAGAGTGAGATTACAATCCTTGGAAGAACTAAGGAAATCTTCACGTAAGTGTGCATTTGAGTGGAGTCCCATCTATTTGACAATAGATGGAGAGGAAGGACATACCAAGAAGACATGTCAATCATGTGGCGAGAGCGGCAGGAATGGAATCCAAGTTAACAGGAGCCACTGACGATGTTTGAACAGGGGGAGAGATGGGGATATGTTTCCGCTGGCCTCTCAGGGGCCAAAGCAACAATGCTTGATGCCAAGACAGGCAAAGGAAGAGAACACAGGATAGCCTGAAGTTTTGGGGCATAGGGCTCTAGACTGTGTTTATACCACCCCAAAAAGAATTGGACCTCACTGAATTTACATAAGCAGGTACTCTGTCCCACCCTGCCCTAAAGAGCCTGGAAGCCTTGCTTTTTCTTCTCATTTTGTTAGGGGTAGGACGGCCCCGCCCTCTAATGTCCCGCAGAGGCATCCTCCCTATCTCCCTGAGCTGCGGGCACGGATGCTTGACACTAAGGCTTACCCCGATGCTCTGGTTCCCAGTCGGCGTCTCTGTGGGGATGGGGAATGAGGATGGGAGCCGGGCTGGCATCATTCTGCATACGTAATAGAGCCAGAAGACTTGTGAAACCCAGGAGGTTCTGCTAGGACGTTCTGCAGTAAATACGTGTCATAAAAATAAACCTATCCTGCTATTCAACAGCAATGAGCAATACCCTAGGGTTGCCAACGCTGGAAGTACTGACATCTCTGGGCACAGTGCGGCAGGATGAAGGCCAATCCATGACAGCATGCTCGAATGCACACATCCTCCCGCTCCCGGCCACCCACATCCCACCACAGACTCAGACCTCCTTCAAGTTGTCAAGTGAACTGCAGCCAGGTATAGAGAAATGTAAAGTCCTACTTTTGAGTCAAAACAAGACAATAATTGCCAGTGTCAGGGGTGGGGATCTTGACTGTAGCTGGTGTAACAAAAAGATTGAAGGGTTATTGTGGACTCTACATTTAACATGAGCCAATGGTATGCAGGTGGCATAGAGATGCTAATGTAGTCCTTAACAGCTTTGGAGCCAATGGAGTGTCCAGAACAAAGGAGGCTGTTAATCCTGTTTCAGATCAGAGTAACATATGAGTTACAATCAGAGAAAAGGTTCCAGAATGGTATAAGAACTTGAAACATGGAGTTAAGTTAAGAGAACAGAAACTCTGCAGCCTACAGGAGACTCAGGTGAACATAACGACCAGCTTCATGTCCCTGAAGGGTTGTCATGGGGATAAGGAAACAGCTTTTTCTGTGTGGGCTCCAAGGAGAAGTTATAGCCTGGCCCATTTGTTTCAGAATAGAACTGGAATTGTCTGAAAATGGAATGCTCTCCCCCATGAAACAGTGAATTCTCCATTGCTGGGGTTTGGAAAAGGCTGGTAAGTCTGTACGTGGGCTGCTGTGGCAGAAATTCATCCATTGGGTAAAGACAGGACTAGAGGACCTCTTGAGTTTCTTCCATCTTTCAGGTCTTATGATTCTGTGTGCTTTGTTTTTAATTAAAATTTTTATTTGGACATAATTGTAGACGCATATGCTGTTATAAGATACAATACAGAGAGATCCGGTGCGCCCTTTACCCAGTTTCTCTCAATGGTAAGACTTATAAGACTCTAGTACAATCTCACAATCAGG